GCGGACACACACACGTACCCTTGTTCCTGTGTGTGTTTTGTCTGTTTTATGTTCATTTTAATCCATTTGAATCCAAACACCTTTGTTTCTGTATGTCTATGTCTGTTTTGTGTATGTGCATGTATATACATATGTATAAATTAAGGTACCATTAAGAAAGTTAGAGTGAATCTTGTAATTTTAGAATCTATGAATAAGTTGCTTTTCTTTCTGAATTATTTTGTATTGATAAATTGCTGTAGTTATTAATAAATCTAGATTTCTTACTAAATCATTGCCATGTCAATACTTTCATCCGCGACAAAGGACTTTTTGATGATTTCCACAAATCTGTTATGTATCTGAATGGAAAAAGCACAGGAGGAAGAAAACACAACCTGAAATTATTAATTCTCTGTTTTTCTTAAGTTGTAGCTTGGCAGCAGTACAAAAAGTAATTCATTTTTCTGTTAGCAAGAGGACAACATCTGAACCGAAACAAACACTGCATGTTCCATACTGAGACAAAATTATCAAAACCCTCAAATTTTCCAGTGTCTTCAATTGTTTATGGAATTTAGAGTATTAACACACTCCATTTACTAAAGAGTAATGTTTTCCTTTGCACTGTTTCTGAAATCTTGCTCTAAGTCTGGGTAACAGTTTTTAATGGTCATTTAATTTCCACAGTGCATGGTAAATTTATTTATGTCTAGTGATTAAATGATGCAATTACTACATTATTTTGCAAAACACAGTTAGAGAGATTAGAGGCACAGTCGAGGCACAGCCAGAGGAGGGTTTTGTACAAGCACAGTGTGACGTTTGGTGACGTTGTATGGGTTCTGTAAATTATATACATATAGGTTTTAATTATTTTATTATATTTACTTCGCAAAATATCCTTAAAATATATTTCACAAATGCGATTAATGAGCTCACGTACTGTTCAAGTGAAGTTTAAAGGCAGATAAAATGGGGAAGACGAAGGTCAACTGACTGTGTGACTTCCTGAATTAAGAGTTGGGTAATAACACTGTCACCTGACAAAGCTGTACCATGAGAAACATACTTTCATCACTGTATATTGACTCTACTCAAACACATTTATTAGTGTACTAGACATAGCTATATTAGACTGTAAAATCAATGCATATATTACAGCCAATAAATCAATATTTACAGTGTAAATACTTCTGTCTAGTTTTCAATCCTTGATTCAGTGATTTCCTGGATGCTAATATTTACAGGGTTTTTTATATTCAAGTTTTAAGGTTCATGATACT